AAATATAAGATATATATAAATATATAGATATATTTTTTTAAAGATTGTGAAACAGTCCCTCAAAGGAATGGCCTTTTCTCAGTTGAGGCTCCAAAAGAATCTTAATATAACATAGAGGATAGTATTGAGTAGTCAGTATCTGGAGCTTCTCCATCCAGATACTTATTTTGACCCCTTTCAATCCAAAAACCAAACAAATCTACAAATTTTGATTTTTCCAAGTAATGCCTATGCATTATAGCTGAGAATACTGTACATATGTATGTAGGCAACAGTATTTTAATGTTCATGCTGCCACTTTTTCCCTCTGTTAATTTTCAAGGTATTCACAGACCATGTGCTGTCAATTAAAAAATACAGATTTTCCTGCTATTCGTAAATAATATAAATCAGACAATACAAAACTAGTATTTGGAAATAAATTTAAGTAGACTTTTATTTCTGTTCTAGTGTCTGTGTCCATCTGCCCATCTATCAGTTCCCTAATGCCAACTCATCCTTTATCCTCTTCCCTTCATTTAGATAGAGGAAAAAAAAGGGGAGCATGAGCTTTACAATTTAATATTAAAATAGACATTAATGTTTATAGAAGTGTCTAATTTATAGAATTAGAAATAAAATAGAAATACAGTTACAGAATTAGAAATTCAAATTAGGATAGATCTGCAGATAAATTTTTTTAAAGTTGAGGATTTGTAAGCCACAGTTTATTTCCCAGTCTTTTGTATGCTTTCTATGGCCATAGAAGAAGAAAGGTATAGCCAAATACTTTGAGAGTTTACCTCAACCATATTTCCTTATAAATCTGATAAATGCATTCATGTCTTCATTCAGTAAGCCTTTGCTGAGTATACTATGTGAGTGATGCATTTGTGAAGTTTTTAGCATATTGATAATAGTAAGTTTTATCAAATACCGTGTATGTTGTTGGGCATGAGGAAACACAAGGCTAATATATTGGTCTTCCCTGTCCTCAAAAAAGTGTATTTGCAAGAGAAGAATTGCTGGTTAACAACTAATTTGATTGAAGTCCTGTTGCTTTTCAGATTTGCAAAATTGTGTCAATTAGGGGAACTCATTTCTTCTATCAGTGTGCACAAAGGTGGCTAACAATAACAGGTGACTTGATTTATCCAACTGGGAACATGGTATCTAGTGGGTAGAGTGATTATGCATACACATATACTATATTCTATTCTACTATATAGAATACTATATTCTATACACATATACTATATTCTATGACAGGTTACATTTTTGCTTTGGATTAGAAATAGCATTAACCCTTGGTAAGACTGGTAATATTTATCATTCAAATATAGATGGAGGCCTTCCCAGTCCACTTCCAAAGATAAACTATGACCCTTCCCTTTTCATATTTCTTTCACTTCACTTTCCATATGATACTGAGAGAATCTCCTTATAAGTCTCCCTCTGAAAAATAAACTGGAAAGCATTCACTCAATAAAGAATGGTCTTCCAAATTTTCTTGAAAGTTTCAAACTTATTTGTACCCTCAAGACCTTTTATAATTTACTATTTCCTCTGTTTTGGATTGCTCTTCTCCTAGAAATTCAAATGGCTTGCTTCCTCCTTTTATTAAAGTCTCAGCTCAATAACACATTCTCTCCTTTTATCCTGGTTCATTTTCATGACAAAACATTACTCCTATACATGTTGCATATGTTTGTTGAAAGTTTGCTATACTGAAGTTGCGGGAGATCAGGGACATTGACAATCTTTTTCTTTTGTATTCCTAATGTCTAGGAAAATCCCGGATCTTACCAGGTGCATAACATTTGAAGGAATTTGCAAGTTTTTTAACAACCTCTTAGACACTGAGGTTAAAGTACAAGTATGATACTCATCTCCAGATTCTTTATTTCTTACAGTTATGTTTAATCAGGAGCCTAAACGAATCTGAAGTGATTTAAAACTACTGTAGTTTGGATATATTTGTTTTTGCTTTTATGTATTTGTCTTTAGTTATTTCTATAGGCAACAGACAATAGTAATTCAAGGTAGTAGTAATTATTTAATCTATTTATTAGACCTAGAAGGATTTTCAAAATTATGATTAAGTTCCTGACTGAAGTAGATTCTCAGAAGTGAAGTGAAAGTTCTTCAAATCACACTTAATAAATGACAGGGTAGTATTCTAAGCCACTCTCTTGGCTCCAAGTCTAGTATTTTTTCCCCCTGCCAGATGAGTTGAAAATAAAATATTCAAAAATTGTCCTTATTAGATAAGACTCTTTTTTGCAGATTGTTTCTCCACTTGGAGGCACCATCTATAGGCATATTCAGTAAGTTATACATAAACTAGTTTCTGATGATTTAAAAGATTTTATCTTATCACAAAACTCTTTCTTGTTTTGAAAATGTAATTTTAACTATGAATATGTCAAATATATGTAGAATAATATAAAAGATTTCTTTGTATCCACCAATAAAGAATAAAAAGATGCTAACATTTAAAAAAAAAAAAAAAAGGCAGAATGAACCCCTCCTTTGTGTTGTCTTTTTATTGTAGAACACTGTAGCATGTTTGGCACATGGTAGGCATTTCTAGTAGGTATGGAACTTGTCAAATGACAAATAAGAGAAAACAAATTAGTAGTGAATTTGATGTCCTTTATTACAGGGAAGACAGTCCTTGGATTGGGGGATTACAGTGCCTCACAAGCTGATGAACACTCTTTCCAAAAGATTTCAGACAAGAGCATGTTTTAGAGAACGTTAGGAGAGACACCACAGAGAGAGGGTATGGTTGGCCAGGAGATTGAGGTATTTCTTTATGAAGCTAGCAGTCCAGGGCTCCTGGGTGGCTCAGTTGGTTATATGTCTGCCTTCAGCTCAGGCCATGATCCCAGAGTCCTAGGATCAGCCATGCATGGGCCTTCCTGCAACCCCTACCCCCACCCCCACCCACGCTTTGCTTGTCTCTTGCCTTCATGTTCTCTCTCTCTCTCTCTGTCAAATAAGTAAATAAATAATCTTTAAAAAAAAAAAAAAAGTAAAGCTAATAGGTCCTTTTCTCTAGGTAAGGTAGCTAAAGCTGAGTTAGAGGATTGTGATTAATCTATGTTGGATTTCTTGATAGGTGTTTCCCATAAGTGCAGAATGACTTAGATTTGTGACACGGGCCAGGCCATTAGGGCAGCCTTCCATTTTGTGGCTCCTGATACAAATTAACTTTATCAAATTAAGAATCTACAGTTGGCAGTTACATGTGTTTGATTCAAAATGAGAAGATAAATTATTTCACATTTTTTATGTTCACAGATAAACATTAATGAATGACATGCCATTTGTTGTAATTTGTAATTTTCCTGAGGCTTGCATTCAACAAACCTATCACTTGTTTTTATAACAACTAGCAGAAGTGACTTAGCCAGTAAGTAAACCTAGCTAATTGCCTCTACATCCAGGTCTTGATAACTTTGTGTCTGATCTCTCACAAATCCCACTCTTCGTTATTCCACAGATGTATTTACTAACAAAAATATTCTTGTAAGGCGTCAGGTTTTAGCCTCCAAAATATTCAGGGGCATGTAAGATATTTAACAATTGTCTTAGAATAAATAGCTCTGTCATTAAGGCATATTTATTTATTCATGTGTTTAACACATTTATTGGACATTTACTATGTGATAGACATTGCACTAAGTCTTATTAAACTGACCCAGAAAATTCAACCACTTTGGGAAAGGATAAATGTTAATATAACAAGTATATAGTATGTAGGGTGCCTGGGTAGCTCAGTAGGTTAATCCTCTGCCTTCAGCTCAGCTCACGATCTGAGGGTCCTGGGATCGAGCCCCACATCGGGCTTTCTGCTGCTTGGCGAGGGAGCCTGCTCTTCACTGTCTCTGCCTGCCTGTCTACTGTGATCTCTCTCTGTAAAATAAATAAAATCTTAAAAAAAAAAAAAAAAGTAGAGTATGTATATTTTCGGTTGTTGAGCAGAGAAGAAAGAGGAAGCCCTAACTCTGCTTGCAGAAGTTGTGGCAGTGAAGGCAGGCCTCAAACAGAGCTTGGTAGTTAGAAAAAAATAAAGCCTGGTCATTAATAATTTATATAAGGGCACAGTGAGATTAAAGATTTTGTCATGTTTGGAAAACTGCAAGTCTTTATATAACATTGGATGAAAATAGAGTAGTTCAAATGAGGTTGAAAAATTAAGACAATATTTTTATAGTCAAAGCTTCAAAATTATTTTAAGCAAGAATATGCATGTAAATCAAATTTTTCTGTAGGAATTTCAGATCATATACGTGAATATATTTAGGTATCGTAAAACGTGCTTTTTTTAAAAAAAAAGTCCGTTTGTGAAATAAGATTTGCTTATTAAGCACTAGTAAGTATAACGCTAAATCTTTTTTCAAGGTTTTAGTGACAAAACAGATTGGTTACAAATTTAATATTACCGGGGCGCCTGGGTGGTCCAGTCTGTTAAGCGTCAGCCTTTGCCTCGGGAAATGATCTCACAGTCCTGGGAGCAACCCCCACAGCAGGAAGCCTGCTTCTCCCTCTGTCTGCTGCTCCCCCTGCTTCTACTCTTTTTTAATGTTACCAAATGTGTATATAGTAAAGATCTATAAAATTTTATAGTGATGGGGAGGAAAACTTTGGTTGCTAGGGTGAAAATTTCCTTAGTAATAACTGGACAGATCTGTAGATGATGTGTGAAGAAATAAATTTGGGGGGCATTCCTAGTAAGAATAGTTGCTAAGGGTACAGTGTTTTTGCAAAGGAGTTAATGTTTGTTTCATAAAAAGTTCATGCCTTCCACTTATTTCTTCAAAAAAAAAGGGGGGGTGTTGCGAAAGGGGTGACGACTTCCATTAGACCTCGGTGCCTCTCGCGTTTCTCTGGCTGCAGGCGAGGCTGGTTGGGCCTGCGCGGGGCGGAGCCGACGGTGACGCGCCCATGTGCCGCAAGGCATTGTGGGGAGCTCGGGCCCGCGAGTGAGGTGGTTGGAAGCGAGGTGGGGGCGGCCGTTTGTTTTCTCGTGGTCTCGAACTCGCGCGTTCTCATCTTCCCCCGTCCCCCCTCCCGACAAGCGGCGGGGTGGAGGAACGGCGGCGGTGGCAGCAGCGGCTGTAGCATCGGACACCCTCCTGTCTACTCTCCGGCGAATTGGTTCCTCTTCCCCCTCCCTCTCACTGTTTGTTGTGTGTTTGATGTGTTAAAGCAGGAGCGAGAACGCGAGCAGCGCCATGAGCAACACTACCGTCGTCCCCAGTACTGCGGGCCCGGGCCCCAGCGGCGGGCCCGGTGGCGGCGGCGGCGGTGGCGGAGGCGGCGGCACCGAGGTAATCCAGGTGACTAATGTCTCCCCGAGCGCTAGCTCTGAGCAGATGCGGACCCTCTTCGGTTTCCTAGGCAAGATCGACGAACTGCGCCTCTTCCCGCCAGAGTGAGTATCGTCCACCATCGCCGTTTTACTAACTCCTCCCCATTCGGGGCCTAACCTACACCATTTCCTAGGCCGTGGTCGACGCTTCCCCGGACCAGGTTGCTTTAGTTGAGGCTGGCTGTTGTTGCCTTTGCTTACGAGTTAGGCTTAACGCGGAGAAGCAGGGCCTGTGTTTTAGATATTAAAGAGACACAGCCTTCAAAATCTCGGGATTTGGTGGTTTTCTTCTTAAATTGTGACAACGTGGTCGTTTTTTTGAGCAGTTAGAGCAGGGCTAACCGCACTTCATGTATTTCGTATATAGTTTTAATCGCTTTAAAAAAAATCAAATATTTCAGTTATTTGAAAAGTAACAATTATTAATTCTTGTTAATTTGATAACGAAGTTGGTTGTCAGTTCCCTTTATTGTAGGTATTGCCGTTAGCTGATTCAGGCCCAGTGAATATAATTCAGAGTTAATACTCTGACAGATTAATTCAGTGAGCCTGAATACTTAATTTTTATGCTGACAAAAATGGGTTACAGCTGAAACATAGGTTTTCTTTTGTTTAAATAACATACGCATTTTCACAGTTCTTGCGAAGGAATTCTATAGAATGTGAATTTTTTTAATTTAGAGTGTATGGCTGTTTTTATTGTTGTCTCACATTCTTACTGAAAAAATATTGAATGAGTGGATTAATTGCAAAGAAAAAAATAAAGCTTTGAAGTAAGATGTGGTAAATGTTAGAACAAACATTTGAAATGATAAAACAGTGGTGTGCTCTCTGTGAAGAGTGAAAATACTTATAGTAACACTACAAGTAAACACCGAGTACCCACTGTACATTGAGAGTTTTATGATGTCACTTAAGTACTAAACAGGAAATTGGAACTCTCAAGGAATCTACTGTTATGATGGCAGTAATAAATCATTATATTTTTACTCAATAATTAATAGATGTTAATCATGCTGCAATATTAAACATTTCCCGTATTTCATGACTTTCTACTTAAATTGCTTTTACATGACTTTTAATGTTCTCAAATTTGGTGTGCTTTTAATTTTTAAGGGAATGTACATGTTGAGAAAGGTTTCAGAGTTGCTGATTTTCACGAAGTGTAGAATTCTGGAAACATTTTTGTTATTTTAAATAGAAACGACTGCTTTTAGTAATAAAGGACAAGTAGCTTTCATAATATGAACATAGAAAAATATTTTACTGTTACTCCATTTTCTGACAACATGCCCTTTATTAAGTTGTTCATGAAATTAATAAACAGCAAAAGGGCAGAAAATGAGAGTGACATGTGATTATTATAATAATGTTATTATTCAAAATACCTGACCTACTGGACTGATTGATGAAATAATTTTTTCCAGCCCAACAAGTTATTAAGAATTTTGTTAAGGTTCCTGACTTTAAAATGTTTTGTTTATTTTGAAGATGCTCTTTTTATGATGCATTTCTAAAAAGTTGACAGAGGTATATAGGCTGTTTACTGGTTCCTCTTTACCTAATGAATGATCACTATCTTAGAGTCATGATAGACCAGCGTCTTTTTCCTTTTTTGCTTTGTTGTCAAAGAAGTAGTTCCATAATAACCAGGATAACTGATGTGCATCAGATAACATGGTTTGGGGTGCTGTGCATTAAGAGGATTCCTTCCCCCCCTCATTGGGAAGAAGAAATAAAAATTGTCACATCTTTGATCTTTGACACGTTCGTAAATGTTTCCGACTACGGATAGTTTCTCATCTGAAACTGTACAAGGTTACAGTTCAGTAGATGGCTAATACTATCTTCATGGCCTTCTAGATTGTAGAGTCCTACTTTTGTTCATTTAATGTCGATTTTTTAAAAAATATAAGTTTCAATTGCTAATCCAGCCTGCATAATTTGGAACTACTTTGTACAGTTTCTGTACTTTGTACAGCTTACTACTGTTTTCAGGAGTAGCTTACAAGGGATAATGTGCTGTGAAGCGCTAACTAGTACTCCAAAAAGGTTCATCATTCCAAATATCTACTTTTTTACTCCTAGAATAAGATTGAGTGGTTCAGAATATATAAAATTCTGACTATTGTAAACATATTTGCCACTTGATTTTTTTATGGGGTGTTTGTATTTTTTTCCCCAAAGGTACTCATTCATCTAGATAATATGCCTGTGACATGCTTGCTTCCTTTTGCTATTCAGATGTCACCTACTCAGAGAAACCTTTACTGATCACTCTGTGTGAAAATAAAACACTCCTGCTCCCTTCCCTGTTCAATTTAACTACTTTGTTTTTCTCTAAAGCACTAATCACCAACTGATGGTTAAGGTTAGCTTCCTCTCTCTTTTAGAATATGTGGCTCCTTAGGTCAGCAACATTACCTACAGAGCATTTTTAAAAATAACATGTATGACAGCCTTAACCCACACCTACTGAAATGCTGCTTTCAGTTATAAATGCCTATGGGGGAGGTGGTGTAGTGGTGATCCGGGCATCTGGAATTATGCCAAACAGTTCAGTGTCAACCTCCTCAAGGTTTCTCCCTTTGTTTCATTATTGAATCCCTCTTTCTTGTTTCTTTTAAGCCAAAAATTGCTGACCTTTAATTTCACCCAGTGATCATACTGTTTCACAAGAAATAATATTCTAATACTCTCTTTTGTATGACAGCCCTTAGAGCTATTAGAAAGCCTATTGGTTTTGGTGTTCCCCTTATTTATTGCCTCTCTTTCTACAGGAAAATTTTAATTCTGCTTGTTCCTAAAATGTGTTTTGGAAATTCAGCATTGTTTGATTATCTGGTATATGCTAGATGCTTTCCTTTTTTATCTTAAACCTGTTTAATGATCAGATGAAGTGAAATTCATATAGGTAGTTTTGCACTTCCAAATCACTCTACCAGTGTCTGAATTAGTATTTCAACCCAGTGTTGTAATTGTCCTTTATTTATGAGTGGAATCATTCTTTTAAGGTAATAAGTATTCTTTAAATATTTGGTTTTAGTGTATTTCAGAATGGAGAATATAACAAAGTGTTTATTGGGTAATGTTAATGATCCCAGTGAAGCATATGCCCAAGTTATGCATTAAATGAAGGATTACATCAATTAAATAACTTATTTAGGTAATTATTTCGGTGACCAAAAATAGATTATTTTTAATAGTGACCAAAAGACTTGCACAGGCAAGTAGCCATAAACCCATGACTATAGCAGACTGTAGTGTAGTATATACTTGATATTTTAAATCCTTGAAAGTTAATTCACTCACAAACTGACTTTGAACTTCTTTGCTCATCCAGCTGGAAAACTAAAAGTATAAATTTCTTTCACAGCAAAAAGCAAAAAAAGCCACCAAAACAACTACTACCTTAAATTTCTAAGGACAAGTTTGCAGACATTCTAACAAAAAATATATTAGAAGAAAACTAAAAGTATGGTATGCATCACAAATTTGAGTGTTATTCTTACACAGGGGCATGCTAATCTTTTCTGTATCATTACAGTTTTAGTATATGTGCTATGGAAGTGAGCACAAAAAATAGATACTTTAATGATGATAGGTATAAGTAACTAATTGGTAAGGTTATTTTTAAAAATTTTTTATTACATGCACATTTTACTCTATTTCTTATAACTGAGAACACGATGAAAGAGAGGGCATATTAGATGAACAGAGTCACATTTTCAGGTCAATATTGCCTTTGCTTGTATTATAAGCTCAAAATTCTCCACCCAGAAATGGCTAACACAGTATTAAGGTGGCAGTTGAAAGAGTGTTATCAGCAGTCTAAACCAAAAGTTCTTATACTTTATTTCTCAAACTTTAGTTGGCAGAAATACCAAGTGTTGATCTTCAGAATCAAAACCCTCCTATAAAGGAATTCTCACATTCATTGGGCTTGGTGGAAAACAGAAATCTGAATTTTCCATGTGCATCCCAGAAGATTGGGAAACAACCCTTAGAGGACACTTTAATTAAAAAATAAAAATAAAAAAAAAATACTGCCACTCTTTACCTAAGGGCAAAAGCATCATATAGGGCTTGCTCTTTCTCTGTTATTTTTTATCTATATTATTTCTTAAAGAATAAAAGCAGTTAAATTTTTAGAAGTGGTACTTGTAGAAAATTCTAAGGTGTGAAAATTTCAGGCAGTCTGAAAGTGAAATTAACATGCTATCTTACTAGCATGTGTCTTCTATTATTAAATTCTGAGAACATCAAAGAATGTCACTTTGGGTCCAAAAAGTAATTGTTTTAAACAAGGTTGTTTGAAGTGGGGAGAAATGAATTATTTGCCCTTCTGAGTTGTCTTACTATGACTCTCTTTTCCATGGTATTTAATGCATGTTTTTATCTCCCTACTATGGTACAGGTTTGATAAAACCAAGTAATAAGCTGCCAGTAATAGCTATGATGTGAATGGATAGAAAAAATATGAATAATATTAATTGCTAAATTCATGGAAATACACTGAACATGTAGGCGGTATTTCCTAGTTTTATTTTAAAAAGAACTGTCATTGTATTGATATTCTTTAAGAACTTAATATTATAGAGTCATTTTCTTCTTGAGTCAGTTTACAGTAGTGTCAAAGAAATGGTAGAGATCAGTTTTTTTAGAAATTTAAATGCCTGTTACTTACCAAACCATTAAGTTAGGTGTTAAAATAAAGGATAGCATGATTTCCAAAGAGCTTTTTTAATTTTGTGGTAAAAGTGTGGGTATGTGAGAAAAGGATACAAAGTGCTACAGCTTTAGTTCTAAACCTGCTGAAATGGCATTCTTTCCACTATATGGGTGCAACATTGTTAAATTTTAGACCTGTAGTGCTTCATTAAAACACACTATATCCACATTAAAAAAACACTGTATCTTCTCAAAAACATTTTGGCAATAAGCTTCCTTAACAAGGTGGCTTAAATTCCATTTAGATAGACAATATTTTCAACTTTGCTTTGAAACTAGGTTTGGAACTGTGCTTAGTATACACGCAGTGCCTTTCAGGAAATATTTAAAAATTCTAATGGGTTTGAGTCTTGGACTATGCAATAGCTTCATATTAGTGTTCAAATTATGAGGAATATTTTCTTTGCAACAAGTACTTAACTCTGAAATAACCATTGTAACAAAATCTGATGTAATTACATTTTTATGTATACATGAAAATCTAATTTGTTAGTTAGTGGTAAGCCCTCTTCTAAAGCCATTCAGATTTATTATAGGATTTACTTTTTCATTATTGAATCTTAAGATGCAGTTGGCTTCTTACAATACAGCAGTTGTTCTTTACCTTAGGTGCATATTAAGATGGTCACAGGGTATTAAAATAAAAAAAGAGGAGGCGCTGAGTATGTTAAAAGATCTTGATTTAATTGATGTGGAGTAGAGATCTGGGGGTTTTTAACCCTCTGGTGATTCTGATGCATAGCCAGGGATGATGTGATTACTACTGCTTTAAGCCGTTGGTTTTCAAACAACTTTTGGTTTGGCATTATGGGAGCAACCCCTGACTTTTATTTAATCTTCCTCTTTCATGGAGTTTTGTGGCAGAAATTTGCACCACCCTGAATCTTAAAAAAAAAAAAAAAAAAAAAAAAAAATCCTGCCTGGTACCTAATCTATCTTAGCCTACCAGAGTTTCCATTTTAGCACTTTTTTTTACTTAAGAAAGCAGTTTGCTAAGGGAATCCTTATGTAATAATACTAGCGGGTACTGTGTATCTCAGTATGTGTACACATTTTTTTTGTTTTGTTTTTCTGAAGGCGATCTAAGATAGCCTTAGTTCTTTATAATGCCTAAGTGTTATGCTGTAGGTGGAAGAAGACAGCACTTAGGCGGGTCAAGAAAACTCATTGTCAAATAGATGTACTTTCCGACAATATTTTTTTGTCCCTGAAGTAGAAATTCTCTGTGTTTTTTACTCTGAAAAGTTACCAGTAGTGAAAAGTTTTCTAAACCAAAACTAATTATTTTTACTTATAATTAAAAATAGCTGGGGGATGCCTGGGTGGCTCAGTTGGTTGGGCGGCTGCCTTCGGCTCGGGTCATGATCCCAGCGTCCTGGGATCGAGTCCCACATTGGGCTCCTTGCTCGGCAGGGAGCCTGCTTCTCCCTCTGCCTCTGTTTGCCTGTGCTCGCTCGCTCTCTCTCCCTCTTTCTCTGACAAATAAATAACTAAAATCTTAAAAAAAAAAAATAGCAGGTATTGGTATTGTAGAAAAAATGTTGACACTTTTGTGGTCTGCTCAAACTCTGAGATCATAGTTTCAAACTTTTTAATTGATACACTGTAAGTTTACCAACAGTGATTGTTTTTATCTCTATGCAGTTTGTGAGTTCAGTGGGCAGTACCTTATTTGAAATGTCATTTTCTTTTTAAGTGGTTAACTAAAGTAACTAACACATGTGGTATGTATTTTTATCTACCTATTTTACTTTTGGAATGCAAGTGTTGGTTTGTGAGTCGTAAGTTTGTGTTTTAACTGATATTCTTTTTTCTCTTTTTTTATGTTTTATGTTTACTTTTTAGTGATTCACCTTTACCAGTCTCATCCCGTGTCTGCTTTGTTAAGTTCCATGACCCGGACTCAGCAGTTGTGGCACAGCATCTGACAAACACTGTATTCGTTGACAGAGCTTTGATAGTCGTACCATATGCAGAAGGTTTGTGCTTTGTTTAACTATCTGTGAGGGCATCCTGTGATGACCATCTACCTCAGTATAGTTTTAGAGTGAGCGTTAGTAGCATGTTAGAAGTTTAAGCTATTAACATTTTGAAACCCTTGTTATACTGCAGTCCATATTTTTACTTTTAGATTTTTTTTAATTCTAAAAATTAGAAATCAGGCCTGTTTTTATAAGATACTTTTTTTGCCTTCTTTTAAAACATTTTAAGTTCGTTAAAGCCATGTCCCTAATTGTAATTAAGATATACCTTAGTTAATTTAATGTTGAGTTTTATGAAAAAGTCCTGAAGGTGAACGGTTCACTCCATACACATTTATGTAGAAACCTTCAAATAAATGCATGATGTTATTTCTGTTTTGAATAAATAATAGGTTAGTTTTATTTATGTAGTGCTTCCTCTCACAGATACCTTTTAAAAATATCCCATATTGAATTCCAGTATACCAAGGGTTGCAATGATTGCGGTTTTTATGAAAGTTCAAGATTTCCTGTAGCTTAGGTGCCAGATGGGCACTGGGTGATTTGTTTTTATGCCAGATTTTCTTGTTCATTCTTGCTATATTTTCTAGATATCTCTAAATAATAAATTCTTCTCTCTGTTATTTGTGTGTGTGATTTTTGTAGTGGAGAAGGCAAATGCAAAACTCTTCCAGATGACTGAAAAACAGTGGGTCCTCTGCAGCTACAGGGGATTCTAGACATTAACTAAAGGCCAGCAAGCACTCAAGTCCCCCAAGTGTTTTCCTGGTGTAACCATTTGTTAACTACATTTTCTCTCTTTTTTACATTTTAGGCTGTTAAAGTAATTTGACAGAAAAAAAAATGAGCAGGGTTTTTGGATCTAAAAAAGCCACTGTGACAAGACAGCACTATATTAATTCCATTTTGTAAAATTTTCTGAAACATTTTATAATTAGTTTGTTCCCAATGTACTGCTACTTTATTTGCTTTTTGGTAACTATAAATTTTGATCAAAGAAATCACTGAAGTATGATAAAATTACTGGATTTTAAGCTAATCATTTAACATATATGCTGACCAGAATTAAAATGCTTTCCCCTTAACAAACTGGTCAGTAGACGCAGAATTTTGATATTGTTAATTTTAGATGCTGTTTCAGATCTTTGAATACCAGTGTGAACCTTTACACCATGCCTTGTAAAAGTTTTGAAATGTCTAGTCCTTAAAACTTAGAAAAATTGCCTTTGTGGTTTTCTAAAGAAATTAAATTGCATTCATAGATGGATTAAGGCATGCTATATAATAATAATACATCTGTCTCCGTGATATTAAAGTGTGTGAGCCCTGTTTTAAGGTTTTAAAATATATATGCTGATAAACGTATGAGTTAGTGTGTTATGATTAAGCAGTTTTCTTTTATATCAGTGTACCTGTTATAGGATAAGACTTATCACCAAGAGAAAATTTAAAGAATTCAAATTTAGGATAAGTAAAGTACAGTTTTGAAACAAAATTCAAATCATGTGAGTAATGTGCAGAACTTTAGTTAGGCTTTAAATTTAAAGAATTCTTATTGGCTAAGTTTCATAGTTCCCAGGTCCTGAACATAATACAGTATATCATATAACTGGTTTTCATAAGTATTTTTAGACTATAGTAACTTTTCTAGATCTGTTTTGTAAATGAAATGTTTAGGAATGTATATAGAATTACAGAAATATTTAGTTCCAGAATCTATTTTTGGTTTATTTAATAATGGGTATGGTATGCTGTATTAATGTTACCACTGCTAAATAACTGATGTACTCAATCCCTTTATCACCATTCACCCTAGTTTTAGCTCTTACGCTTTGGTGTTGGCTCTTGGTCAGTGTTTTAGAACAATAGACACAAAGTCTATGGTAAGGAATAGTCTTAATTGGTAAAACTGAGATAGCTGGATTTGGAAGGAACTCTTAATAGTAATGGATTTGGGGGTTATTTAGGTTCCTTGGTTAATGTTTGTTTCTTTTGTCTGTTTCTTTTTCTTTCATTTCTACACATTCATGCAGTATTTCATGGTTCTATCAAAGCAGCAGTAAAAAAAATACTCTTGACGCATGAAAATTAACTGGTGAGGGGCCTCATTGCTATTTTTAAATTGTAGTTTTATTTTTAAATAGTCTTTTTTAAATCAGAGGATCAGATGCATGACTTTTTTTTTAATGGATGCAGATCTTCTATCAGGTGTCTCACAATACAAGAGGATTTTAGTTTGCCAGAAATGTTGCAAATGCACTAATTTGAGTAAGATGTTGATACTTAATATTATCCTCTTGAGACATAATTTTGCATGCAAAATTATCCCATAATCTTTGTAGGTTTGTTAATATTGATGCATTAATGCCCTATATCTAAATGATCTTCTCCCCCCACCCCTCCATAACTCTTGGTATCTAAACTGATAACAGCTCTGACACAAGCAAGATAACAGTGCTGTGTAGTATACATTTGTTTATATTATCGGCACTTCTCAGTATAGGTGGAAGGAACCATTACCTTTATTTAACAGTGGTTTTTCTTTTTTGTTGTTGTGTTTTACAGTTCTTTTCCCTGGTTCAGCCTGAACTATATACCAGGCCCTGCTGAAAATACCACCCAACAGTTTTCTTCTGCAGCTTATCCAGTTTCTCTTAAGTGCCCTGTACATATTGTATGTTTTATGATGAGATGCAGTTTCTTAATATGTATTACAGAAATACTACTGGTATTTGCAAATATGTAGTTTAATTGTATTATTGAACTCTCATTTTGGGGGCTTGGGCACATTAACAGATTAATCCATCTGTATAGGGCTTTTGCTGTTGGATAGAATTTAAATTGTCTACATATAAATATTTGTTTTAGGGCCCTTAGATTTTATCTGAATACACAGATTAGGCTTTAAAAACAGACATACATGTTGTTTTTGGCTTTAGGAGTTTGGCTAAGTTAGCTTTTGAACTGACACTATGTAGCAGCATTTTTGATATGGTTAGCATGGCACATGTTGGAACATAAAGCATTTTACTGTACAGGTAAGGAATGTGCCATGTTGTTTTACCTATTTTCTCTCTTTCTTACCCACTTTCACACACACATCTTGTGTGTATTCAGAGACCTTCAGAAACATTCATATTCATTTTCATGAGTCAGCAAAAGCCCTACGCTTGATTCCAACAGAATATTTCCTTTACATACTTTTCTTCTCTTAATTTTTACAAAATTTGTATGGTAGGTGTAAAAGAAAATCATAGTAACTGTACCATATTATTAACCCCTAAATCAAACTTTTTTTGTCTTGTGTATCTTGATTTTTCTGTGTGCTTTATAGTGAAGCAGCCGACACGAGTCGTTGTTCATAAAACAGCTTTTGAAAGTTGAGAGCACACCCCTGGAGAACCGACTGTGCTTGCTTACGTTTGGTTCATGACTTAAAAATCGAGTACAGGTGATGAAATCTTGGCAGTGTTAACAAAAAAGTAGTGTGTATTGTGCTATTTTTTTTTTACTCTAGAAACTTAACCATTTGTAGAGAAAAAGGAAACAAATTTTCACACATTGAAGTTTCATTCTGACATAAAATTAATGATAAATAATCATAGAAGTCAAGCTTTATATTTTAGCGAACATAAGTACTTTCAACAAACAGGTGGTGTATCAGGGAGACTTTTTCTGGGTGTTTTTGTGTGTTTTCTGTCTTGCAAAAGAGTGTGTTCTAATGCGAGGATGTTTCTCTGCAGGAGTTATTCCTGATGAGACTAAGGCTTTGTCTCTGTTGGCACCAGCTAATGCAGTGGCAGGTCTTCTGCCTGGTGGTGGACTCCTGCCTACCCCTAACCCACTTACCCAGGTACTGCTAGTTCTATTGAATTCTTAAAAGGATAGAAACACAGAATTGTGGATAAACCTAAACATACTTGAGCTTTTTAAGTGCTGTAATGATTAGAGTTCACAGAGGAATGATACCACATGTTCATAGTATTGTAAAAGGCTATATTGTTATCATAAATACTGAAGGAAACCTCTTACGAGTTTGCATTTTAAGAGCATTCTGATGAAAATCATAAATCTTAACATTTGGTTTGCCACTAGCTCTCAAAATAACCCATAAGGAACCCATGTGGGTGAGGGGGTGTTTGGACTGGAATTTGATGAGGCATGAGACTTTTTCTCTTGAACGTGCTGTTAAAAATAGTATGTTCATTTGGACCCAGAAAGAAAATAAAAGTGAAATTCAGACTTTTTGGTGTTTTTTTTTTTTCTTTCTTTCTTTCTCAATGCCGTTTGAGCTTTTGCTCTTGAGGTCTGAATTAAGTACATGGATTGCAATAAAGGTGAATTCTTAATGGAAATTTTAACGTGGGGAAGGTGAAATAAAGTTGGAGAAAAATTTTGCTGGGTAGTGTTTCTAACTTCATAAGATGATATAAAAAGCATAATTGTTTTAGAACCAAAAAGCTCTTTTTTTTTTTTTTTTTTTTTTTTTTTTAATGATTTTTTTTTAAGATTATTTATTTATTTATTTGACAGAGATCACAAGTAGGCAGAGAGGCAGGCAGAGAGAGAGGAGGAAGCAGGCTCCCCGCTGAGCAGAGAGCCCGATGCGGGGCTCGATCCCAGGATCCGGGATCATGACCTGTGCGGGGCTCGATCCCAGGATCCGGGATCATGACCCGAGCCGAAGGCAGCGGCTTAACCCACTGAGCCACCCAGGCGCCCCCAAAAAGCTCTTTAAATTTCGTCTATTCTTTTTCAGAGAGATTGTAACTGGTCATTGAGTGGTTTCGCTGATAATAGCAAACAGCAAGCCTCAAACTAGAATTTTGTAACAGCATTTTTTCTGTTACATCATTTCGCCTGTCTGAATAGTTCCATTAACTGTAAAGTCAGAAAAAGGATGAAATCAGGAATTCCCATCATTTTGAGTATGACTTTGTCATTTAAGTCTTCATTTTTTTAACCTATAAAATGAGGATCTGGGTGATTTATAGATTGATTCCTTTATATAAAATTGTGTAATAACTAAGGTAGACATTATATATTGGTATATATATAACTATAGGTAGACACTATATATTATAGGGACATTGTTTTAATTGTACTCCATAAACAATTATTAACATACAGAAGGTTTGGTACCTTTTATTTATTAAATATTATTAGAAGCTAGAAGAACTTTTAGCACAGTTCTTAGGGAGAAAGACTGCCTGCAATAGGACTTTGCATAATTTACATCTGTTGGTTAGAATTCTGTCAGGCAGGAGACCCAAAAAAAAAAAAAAAACTGGTAATTTGAATAGAGAAAGTTTAATACAAAGAATTACTAACTGGTAACAGGAGATAACTTAGTGGTACTTCAGTGAATATACAGTAATTGCAGGTATAGGAAGCAACTAGTATGTCTAGATCTGAGGAAGAAAGAACACAGGAAACCCAGTAGATAAGGGGATTCCTCTTCCCACTTAAGGCTAAGTTTCAGACCTTCAAAAGGATGGGTAGTACAGAAGTTCTCTGGAGTGCTCAGAGAACATGTAAGAAGCTACCCAAGAGGATGGTACTGAAACTCACTAAAAAGATGAAGGCTGCTGGGCATCCCACTGCAGTACCAATCAGAAAGTGAACGTAGGAACCAGGAACAGAAACCCCTTCCACAGTGTCCTTCTAGCTCCCCATACACATAAAGCTTAACAGAATACCAGCTGTCACGGGAGAAGTGCTTTTAAGGGTGCTATTTTCATTATCACAAAACAGGACAAAGGCTAGTGGATTTGGACCTGAGAAGCAACAAATATAAATTGTTGACAAATGAATATATAAAATTTTTTTGTTTTTCTAATTTCTGGGTTTAGGGATAAATGTGCTGTAATGACTGAAAAATGAGGACATTGTATATTGCAGGGATAGTAAGGGAACTATAGCTCTTGGTCCAGACCCCCATTTTTGTTAATTTTGATTTGACAAACATGCCCATTGTTTATTTAGTATTATCTTTGTTTACAAGCTATAGTGGCATAGCTGAGTCGTTGCAACAGAGCCCACATAGCTCAGACTTAAATTGGTTATTATATGGGCCTTTCAACGGGAAAAAAAATAATACCAGAAATAACAAGAATAGAAATTAAATTTAAAATAAATAAAATTTGAAATTTCACAGATTGGCGCTGTTCCATTGGCTGCTTTGGGAGCTCCTACTCTTGATCCTGCCCTTGCTGCACTTGGGCTTCCTGGAGCAAACTTGAACTCTCAGGTATAACTGAATACCTTTTGCTCTCATTTTTTATAATTAAAGAATTTGTTCCGTTAACTGTTAAGTTTGCATTTCCCAGAATGGGAGATAACTGATTGCTATAGTATAGTAATAGCTTTTTTTATGTAAACTTCATTAGAAGCTTAAAAGGTCACTGCATTATTAGCCCCTTAACCATTAAAGAATTTCTCATTTTGTGTCATTCAGAGTAGTGTCACAGGAAGCCAATACATAAGTATTTTTAGAGTCAGAGTAAACAGTCATGAAAGAATGGGAATGTGGGTTCATAATTTGTTGTTACTTGGAAGTTTTTGTTTTCTCTCATTGTTATTTGGCCAGACTTTTTTCTGAAGTCCTAACTTTGTGGAAATCTTTTATTGTACTGCCTAACCACTTGGAGTTTTGTTTTACACATTTTCTTGAAGTATTAGCTCCTCAGTCTCAAAATAAGCAGGAGGTAACTGTTCTGTAAAACCTAGACTTTCAGCTAATCATATTCATATTTAACTGCTAAAGCAGCTTAACTTTATATGATGTATTTCACTGGCATTATATTTCTGTTGATCATCAGTGTGCCTAAAATAATGTAACTTCTTGTATGTTGGCCAGATTGTCCTAAGGCATTTCAACATACTGAAAAAAATAAAATAGCAATCATTTATTTTATGTATTCTCACTGATGTTACATTTTTGTTTTTACAGTCGCTTGCTGCAGATCAGTTGCTGAAGCTTATGAGTACTGTTGATCCCAAGTAAGGATTTTTTCCATGTTTTCATTGGTGATACAGATATAGTATATGAATGTCTGGAGAAGTTATTCTTTGATAGTTAAAAAGAAAGTTATTTCAAGTTACACAATACATAATTCTGTTTTCTGGAAACAAGGAGAAAAATTCAGAGGTAAGTCCATCTACAAAGGGTTTTGTTTCGGTATAAATTGAGTCTTTCTGAACAGTTTGATGAATAGCTTTTGCCAGGATAACTGGAAAAGAGCAAAATACTATCATTAGTTGATTCATTTAAAAAATAGATATATATACAGAGTACCTGCTGTAAGCTTGTACCTTCACAGCATTTATACTCTAGTCAGAAAAGAAGACATTATTTAAATATAGTTAAGTATGTGCATCTAACAAGAAGTACACAGGGGCTATGGGAACTTACTACAAGGAGAACTTAAGATCAGAGAGGCTGAGCCTGGGGCATGAATAGGAGTCAGGGAGACAGAAGTGAAGGAAACACTATCCCAGAGCAAAAGACTAATACATGTCACATAATACCAACATCTTTTTTAGGTGCTTTGAAAAGTTCTCTTTGTGCTGTAACTGTTATATTCTCTAGTTGATATGTAACAAAATCATGAAATATTTTACTTGATAATTTCTTGGTATATTAAATTTGAACTTAAGCTTTTCCTGCTTGGTGAAATTCTCTATAAGTAAGTGGGAGAGCATGGTGGGAGGGAGAACAGAATTATTTGACTATAATAGTTAGTGCCTTTTTTCTTAAAAATTATCTGATAAAACCTTAGTATGTACCTATCATTCAGCATGTAACACCAGTACAGTTGAAGTTCCCTCAGTACCCATTCTTGTTTACATTGCCCTTTCTCCACAAATACTTAACTATCTTTAACATTTGTTGTCTTTAATTTTTTGTCCTGTATAAACCTTTAAAAGGTCCATCTTTCCAGTCAACAATTTCATGAGTAACTTTGGTGTGCCATTGGCCTCTGCTTCATTTTCTGCCCTTCTGCAACCTTAGAAGTAATACTCTTCCCCAGGAAAATTCTGCTGTAGAAAGTTTTTAAATCGTATGAAGGAAAGTTCTGTTAATCATAAATCTTCAGCATCTTTGTATTCCCAGGAATAACATTTTTCAACGTGCGTTTATGGAAAGTTAATGGATGTTCCGCAAAATAAAATAGGTATTTTTTCTTATTCTAGGTGTCTCTCAATCTTTAAATTGCAGATTGTAAACATTGAAAAGGATGCTATACTGTACATGGTTTTACCAAAATTAACATGAAATAACCCCTTTTTCAAGTAGTATTTTACTAAAATTATACATGAAATATTTACATTTATTTGTAATAATGTGCATTTAAAAATACTTGGATCTCAGTTCTTTGTTCTGTTTCAGGTTGAATCATGTAGCTGCTGGTCTTGTTTCACCAAGTCTGAAATCAGATACCTCTAGTAAAGAAATAGAGGAAGCCATGAAGAGAGTACGAGAAGCACAGTCCCTAATTTCTGCTGCTATAGAACCAGGTAAAAATATGTTAGGCAGTTGTGTTGAATCTTAAACTATGTGATTGTTGACAAAAATGATTATTGCATGAGTTTGGGAATATTATAATCATTTTTAAATTTAATTATAATCATATTTTAATTTTCCAAATTCTGATAAAAGGTCATGTAGTAGAGTGATCCTGGGTTGGGGGAGGGGACTTGTCACCTAGACATAATTTGAAAATATCTGGAGATATTTAATTGTCATGTTGGTACCAACTGCATCTCTACCGGGTAGAGGATCAGGACATAGCTAAACATCCTTCAGGACACCCTACTCTATCCCTCAGTGATGTATTCCTTAATAGTAGTGCCTAGACTTATGTTAGCTTATGTTGGGATAACCTAATTGATTTTAGTCTTTTATTTGACCTAGAGAACCTACTAAAGATGCTTCTGTTAAGACAGTTGTTTAAAGAAAACCAAATACCTAAAAGTATTACCTTTTTCTCTGCAGATTGTCTTTTCGAGGTGAAGTGAATGGTTATCCTATTGTCTGCCTATATAGATTGGATGTTTGGTTCTGGATTATTTTTTCCCACATCAGTAAATGTTTTACTAATTTTTCACTCCTATTTCTTAATAAATAGGAAGGTTTTAGATATGTGTAGTATTAGGAAGATAATTATAATGTTGGATAAATTAATACCAAGTGCTTTATGTCTGTTATTTATCAACAGATTTAATTAGTCCAAGGCCATAAGGCAATCTGAGTAAGAGTTTTAGATACACAACTGGATGTATGTGACTCCAGAGCCAGAACACCATGCTGTAACTTTCTGTTTTCATTGAAAACTGATAACTGGAAATACTGAAAGTGGTTTATTTATGAATTCTCCCCAAGATTTTTGTGAATTTATTACTGACATTTGCAATAAATTGAGTCCAGTTAATGAAATGATCTAAATGTGAAAGAAATCAGTCTCACTTTAATTGTAGATTACATGTGAAGAATGCAGTGGCTTTATTTCTAAGTCCTAAGTTAAAGGAATTGCTTATGTATTTATTTAAAAAACTAGGAAATGGGACTCAGATCATCTAGATCTGTCTCCTGACTTACACAGTTGAAAATTAGAGAGCAAGAGGAAGTTCAGACAGAGTAAGAAAAGAGAACTAGCTTACTAAAAGCCAGTTCTGCCACAGAGTGTAGTGAGAACAGTGAATGAATCATGACTCTCTGGAATTGAAGGCCAAATATTGAGTTTATTAATCAACCACTGTAACATAAATATAGAGGAATTTATTTAGCAGAGGCACATAGGCATAAGTGATTAAGAAGGAACATTTTAATGGAACAAGGATTTAAAATGTCTGTATTTCTGTTTATTATATAATCTGTTAAATATATTTATCTTACAGTTGAGTACTGGTTGGGAGATGTTAATATATGACACATGAAAATAAAGTTTTAATCTGAGTCAATTAGAGCTATATTTGGGAAAGTAGAACCCAGGAATGGAAATAGGGACTCCTCATTTAGAAACCTATGAAGAATGAGATGGATAATTCTTTTCATAGATTGTTTATGGACAGTAAATCACAGCCTTCCATATCTGGGACAAATGAAATAGTCAAAGGAAACTGGTTAGTTGAAAATCAGATATGTAATTTGGATCTACTGAAAGCCTAGAGAAAAGGATCATATGACATTTAAGGATGATATATGAAACGTGAAAATTAAGATAATGAAGAATTTCTTAGAATGACTTCTAAGTGGGCATAATCTTTCTATTTTATGGTTTCTAAATCCAGATTCCTTTTTTTTTTTTTAATCCAGATAAGAAAGAAGAGAAACGAAGGCACTCAAGGTCAAGATCACGTTCTAGGAGGAGGAGGACTCCCTCATCTTCTAGGCACAGGTTTGATAGATGGTTATTGGTAGTTAATTGTACCTTAGAAAAAGATAATTTCTGTATTTTAAATCCTTCTTAATTTGCTAGCTGTTAACCTACTTAGCTCTGGGTGTTTTAATAACTGTTACCATTAGCAGAGTGTTTGAGGTCACATGTGGACACATGGAGAAAAGGTATGGGCTAAATAGACAATTGATTGGAACTTTAAAACTCCGAAATCTGGGGATGGGAGGAAGGCACTGGGACTGGAACACTAAATTGAGTTAGGACTGTGTAAGAACACTAGACTTGAAACTTTTGACTTGAATTCTACTTCTGACTTTCCACTAGACTTCTTGAGACTTCTCTTTCAACTTACCCATCTGATGCATGAATATTTGTAAATGGCAATATCACCATACATCTCATCTGAAAACCCTTTTAAGTATTAGGAATCTGTCACGTTCACAGTGGTAGATTCAAGTGTTCTAAAATTTAATTTTCTCTTGAAACCTCAGATCTTATTATCAGCAGCAAGTTTTTGTTTTGTTTTGTTTTTTGTTTGTTTTTTTTGTTTTGTTTTGTTTTTGAGATGATAGGCTTCATGCATTTTTTTCCAGAAACTGTCTGCCAGTACCGTAGTCTAAACAACCATAGTTTGTCATACTTGTTTTTTCAAGTAGAGTTGTTATTTCATTGGAAAAGCAGTTAGGTAAGCTCACAGCTCAGTCACACAGTTGTGTTTCTTGGTAACAACAGTCATTTAACTTTAATTAATATAACAAGTGATTTATGTATTCATTGCACAGAACGTTGCTCAAGGGCCTAGATTTAATATTTACTGTTCATAATACTAGGTTAATAGCATTCAAAGAATCAGGTTTAATAAAATAGTCTTTTTACTGTTTCATCAATGATCTCTTTAGTGAAAATGGCATTTTTTTTTGTTTTTTTCTTTTACTGCACTTGCATACTGCAAATGCCAGTGAAGAATACAGAGACCTACTTAGGGCAGTTCAGTACCTGCTACCTTGATTGGTGCTAAGAAGATGATAAAACCCTTTCACACCACCATTGCTTTTGTGCTATTCATATGTCAACACAGTGAAAAGGGCAAATAATATCTTGGTGGTTTTTTGTTTTGTTTGGTTTGGTTTGGTTTGGTTTTTTTAAATAATTTTGACCTGTGGAGCCCATGACATTGTCAGGTCTTTTCATAGTCATTTCATTAGTCCACTTGGCTGCTGTAATAGAATACCATAGGCTCGGTGGCTTACAAACAACAGAAATTAATTTCTCACAGGTCTGGAGACTGGGAAGTCCAAGGTTGAGGTCTTGGCAAATTAGGTGTTTAGTGAGGACCTTTGTTTGTAGGTCTTTTTACTATATCCTCACATGGAATGGGTGAGGGGGTTTAGATCTCTTTTATAAGGTTATTAATCCCATGAAAGCTGTACTATCATGACCTAATTATCTCCCAAAGGCTCTACCTCAGTATCATCACATTGGAAATTGGGTTTCACGTAAGAATTTTGGAAGGGGCACAAAATTCAGTCTGTAGCAGAATGTTACAGTGTTGTCCTACCGCCCCCCGCCCCCACCACCACCACCCTGCCTCCCATCTTCCCCCAACCTGTCTCATTCCTAAACATATCTTTCAAAAAACCAAGTCTGGATCGTGTCACAGCCTTGTTAAACTTTGAGGAGCACCCTTATTCGCCTTAACAACATGGTAAATAAAACCTTAGAATGGCATTCAGTTTTCTTTACTATTCAACCCTGTTTATCTTCCACACTTGTCAGTTGCCACTCCAAAACAGTTGATTACGGTACTATTTGCCTGAACGTACATTTTCTGTATGCTTCCATGCTTTTGTTCATAATGTTCCTTTCTGCCTAATGCTCTTTCTCACATCTTCATCTCCACCTGAGGAACTCCATTTTGTTAGCTTGCTCAGGATCAGCTAAATATGTGAAATATTGATACTACTTATAATTCTAATTTTCCAGGACCGTGCTCTTATATTTTAATTTAACGCTTAAAATGTTTGAGAACCTAAGTCCTTTTTTCCTATATATACCAAGTACATACTAGTGTTCTTTCAGGTTTTAATTTGAATTATTTTAATACAACCTGTGGGAAATAATAGTGAAACATTTATTTTCTTGAACAGAGTGTTTTTGGACACTTGTAATAATACATCATAATGGATTATTATGGGTATTATTATTATTAGTATCTTAAGCATCTTGGCATGTAAAATGACCATTACTTTTAACAACTTAAAATACTAATTTCGTATATTTTTCTGATTTTCTTTAAAGAGCTTATATAAACTGGTAAGTGTGTTAAAGTAGCTCTGCAGCACATTAATCTTAAAAAAATAACTTTAAGGACCTTATAGTAAATAGATGGGTGTGATACCTCTGCTTATTAGATTTTTGAAACTATCTTTTATTAATCATTTGTTTAGAAAAAAACTGTGAGAATGTTTATGATTTATTGTTTCTGTACTTCTATTTTTTGTGTATACGTTAAAGGCAGGAAAAATGAGTAACTCAGTTTAGCAAAAATGATGGTCAATGTAATTTTCTTAAAGCCAGTATACTCAAAAGATGAGTAGTGTTTAATTCTAATAACATCAGTTTTATTTTCCAGAATTATTTTTAGCTCTTAAGAAGAAAGTGATGATTTTGATATTTCATAGAGTCACTATCACCTAAAATATACTATTAGTACCTTTTACTAGAGTCAGGCACTGTACTGATTGCTCGAAAGTATAGTGTTGAATAAGGTAGACAAATTTAGTCCCCATTTTTATGAAGCTTACAAAAAGGTAGGTAAGCATTACATGAACATTTTCTAGGAAATAGACATGTTATTGAAAGGGATTGTTTTAGAAGTTTCCAAATAATGGTCAAAAATAGGAGATGATTAAAATGAAAGTTTATTGATTCAATAAGACACTAGTGATGGGTTTTGAAATAGTGGTTTTAGAGAAGGAGACAGCAGAACCCATATTGGCACATTAGTAAGAGGAAAGAAAGGAATCAGTAGTTCATATATATACCTACATTTAAGCACTGAGCTGACTTTTTAACTTCATTTTAAATTTTAAATAACAGATATTCACAATGTAAGTGCTATTATTTTTCATTAATAGGCCCAAAGAATGCTCTCCATTTGCTGGTATTGAACTGAGATTTGGACATAAATCTTTACCATTTCTAAACTGTCTTTTCTCTGGGCACCTTAAGTGAATGTAGAAATTTGACTGTATTAGAAGTTTTCCATAGAAACAGGTTGAATGAATGGTCCTTAGAAGTTAAATGATAAAAGTCTTAAGCAGAGGATGCAGTTTATTTTTAATTATTCTTAAAAGAGAGTAAAATACAAGAGGAAGAGGATCAGTGACAACATCAAAAACTTAATTGTGCTTCTTAAGTCCTAAAAGAGAAAGTATATAGGATTGGGGGAAAAGGCTGGGAGACGGTGCAGAAAGAAACACTTCTGTTACATGACAGGAAAGAGATGATCATCATGTAAAGCTAGTGATAATGGTGAGGGGAAATGAAAGTTAAAGAGGCAGTTTGTGCTGAGTTTTATATATCTATATAGGGCTACATTGGATATCTCTGAGGTTGTAAATCAAAGTAAAATAATATTTCAGAGAAGAATTAGAAATCATAGAAAGCAACAACACACCTTAAGTGGTTTTCATTTATAAAATGAATTATAATAGTACCTACTTGAAAGGTTTATTGTAAGAATAAGTACTTCTAAAGCATGTAGTAAGCAAATATTAAGTATTTGGTAATCGACCAATAGGGTTAACCTGCCATCGTGAGGAATTACATAAGACACATGCTAAAATTCTGTATAGTTGGAAGATGATGCAAGTGAATCAGCTATTTTTATTTTCCTTCATTCTGTAGTACAGTTTTTAGGTTCAGAGTTATAGTGTCAGGGCATAGGACTATTCTGACAGATTGAGGTTAAAACGTGAGAAATTCTAGGTGTTAGAAAGTATTAGTTTCTAGGGAATCAAAAGATGTTTTAGGGGTGCCTGGAGGGCTCAAGTCAGTTGAGCATCTGACTCTTGGTTTTGACTCACCTCATTATCTTGGGATTATGAGATTAAGCCCTGTATCAGGCTACAGGGTCTGCTTAAGATTCTCCCCACCCCTACCCTGGTCACTCCTGCTCCCTAAGGTAATAAAATCTTCAAAAAAAGAAAAAAGAAAAAGCTTTATGGACTAAATAAATAATATCAACAACTGATAGGAAATTACTCCCACTTGTTGATGGTTGTTAACCCATATGTTTGAATCATTTGGTGCTAAGTGAAACAGTCACAGAACTAGTCTGTTTGCCTTTAGACGCGTGAATTGGCTTTTTCATTATTAGGCGGTCAAGAAGCAGATCAAGAAGGAGATCACATTCTAAGTCAAGGAGTAGGCGACGATCCAAAAGTCCAAGACGGAGAAGATCTCATTCCAGAGAGAGAGGTAGAAGGTCAAGGAGCACATCAAAAACCAGGTACAGTAGACCATTGACATTAGGTGGGAAGACAAATTTTAAAGTTCCCAAAATCCTAGATACGGGCTACTTAATGACAAAACGGGTGGTGGAAGGAGAGAGGGCTAGATTGGAGAAGGAACTATTTAATTTTTGAAGAGGCTGACATTTGTTTTCCTGGGCTCCTTTGTAAACTTAAGGTTTCTTCTTAGAGCTGAAAACTGAGATGATTTCTTTGTAGTAAAAATTCTTGTCTGTCCTACTACATTCTTTCGTTTCCTTCTTTCCACTTAACCCTGCTAAGGATACAGTGCTACCACCATTCTTTACAGTATGCTGATGAGTTGGTTTATGGCAGACAAGCATGCCTTAATTTACCTTTCCATATCCCAGTATCAGCACCTTATAAACATTTATTAAGAATTAATATATGGCAAACATTGAACCTATTTGGAGAGCCTCCTGTCCCATGATTTGGAATGAGTAGAAGGTTAAAGTTGAGGAGTCACTAAAGAAACCTTGTACTTTAACACTGTATTTTGACTTAAATGTGAATTCATACAGTAGTCCGTCTTTTTCATATAGGGCCAGACCCTTTTAAATTAATACGTAGTCTTGAGTAGCATTTAACAAGTCACTGTTTTTTCACTTGAACCACCTTCACAGTGGCAAGAGAACTATCACTTTTAAAAAGTACCTAGGTTTTTATTATATTTTTCTCATTTATAGTTGTCACATGTATACAATTTCATAACGCTTATTTTTTGAGCAGCTGTCCTTATCTTTCTTAAATATTTGCCTAATTTTTTAGAAGCAGACCTTTTACTTTATGCTATCCATTATCCATTTGTATATTTAATTATGTAATTAAAATAATAAGGACAGTTAAAGTCTAAAACAGTTTATTCTCCATGACCATATAACTCAACTGGGAGCAAAGATCTGGGGGGTAGCTGTACTGAGTGTTTAGCCTGTAAGGAGGCTTTTAGTTACGGTATTTTATAGGGTGAGTCATCTTAATCCAGTCAATCAAACAATCTTGCATAATGAAATGAATATCATACAAAGAGGAATTGGGTGTTCTTTCCCTCAAGGAACTTTTTTTTTTTTTTTTTTTAAAGATTTTATTTAGCAGGAAGAGACACAGCAAGAGAGGGAACACAAGCAGGGGGACTGGGAGAGGGAGAAACACAGGCTTCCTGCAGAACAGGGAGCCCAGTGTGGGGCTTGATCCCAGGATGCTGGGATCATGACCTAAGCCGAAGACAGATGCTCAACAACTGAGCCACCCAGGCGCCCCAAGGAACCTTTTTTATACAAGAGGGGTTAATGTGATTGCCAAGGAAGGGTCACTGCTAGTAGTATTGGAAGAGAATTAATTGAGAAGTGACTGAGTATTAAATTTTGATAGATTTAACTATACTTAGGAGCATGGTTTCAGGTAGACAATGTTTTCAAAATTAGCATAAATTCTTGGAATGGCAAGTATTTTGGTATGGGGGGTGGCTAGGAAATAAGGTTGGAAAAGTGTAGGAAGACAGATGACACACAGAAGGCTGTGTTGTTCTCACGAAGGAGTTTATACCTGATCCAGGAACCAATGGGAAAAGATAGAAAAGTTACGGAACAAGGAGTTACTACTCTTTTCAGATTTGCACTTAGAAAAGATTTCTGATAGAGGATCAGTTTGTGGAAACATGACTGAGTATCCTTGAGGGAAAGTAACAGTAATCAGAAATTATAAAGACAAGAACAAAGGGGAGGGGGTAACTGATGGCAGCAGGGTGACCAAAGAAGAAAAGGACAGAAATAGGAGCTATAGGGATTAGCTTAGAAAAACAAAAGGGGGGACGCCTGGGTGGCTCAGTGGGTTAAAGCCTCTGCCTTCGGCTCAGGTCATGATCCCAGGGTCCTGGGATCGAGCCCCGCATCGGGCTCACTGCTCCGCGGAGGGTCTGCTTCCTCCTCTCTCTCTGCCTCCCTGCCTGCTTGTGATCTCTCTCTCTGTCAAATGAATAAATAAAATCTTTAAAAAAAAAAAAAAAGAAAAAGAAAAACAAAAGGGATACTTTAATCTCTACCATTATAGTTGACTATAGGTATGTATGTCTGTGGGAGTGAAGGACTTCTCATTCAACAAATACATCGATTACCTTTTGTACAGAGTCTTGGGGAGAATGGTAATCTAGGAGGAAAAAATGATGTAGGAAATAAAAGTAAATTTACAAGAATCTCTAAAAAGATTTAGAATTGAAGTATGTATAGTAATACTCCATTGTGATATTTTTCTGATAGTACTGAATAGCATAGAATATGTAGCAGGGGGAAAAAGTAGACAGTTGTCTTGGACCATGGTAAAGGTTAACAACATAATGGGGTATGTACTTTGGAAGAATATTGGTAATAGTAGTCGTTAAATCTGGTAGTGCTTTGTGGGTTCTGGCCTGACAGTAGAGGACACAGAGTCATAGTAGGCGGGGAAATTGGTAATCTGCTGAGAGAAGAAGGGGAGTTGAAGAGCCTGGAGACAATTATTAAAACTATTGGTGTTGGGACACCGGGGGTGACTCAGTTAAGCATCTGCCTTTGGCTCAGGTCATGATCCCCAGTTCCTTGCTCGACAGGGAGCCTGCTTCTCCCTCTACTTGCCAGTCCCCCTGCTTATATGTTCTCTCCTCTGTCTCTCTCTGACGATTAAATAAAATCTTTTAATAATAAATAGATAAATAAATTGTTGGTGTTTATTGCCAGGCATACCAAGAAATTGGAAAACATCCTATATATTTTTTTTCATCACATAGTCTGTTTTGCTCTTTTGGAGAGAAGTTTTATGTGGAATAGCAGGAAATGATTTTTATTTACTAAATATACCCTTAAGCTATTATTACATTTCTATAAGAATATTCATGTTTTAAGAAAGGGATTAGATTTCATTCTGCTTCTGTTTTTATTTGTCATTGCTGTATTTATATTCACTGAATCTTCTAATGCATTTGAAAATTTTGTTCATTTATTAGAGACAAAAAGAAAGAAGACAAAGAAAAGAAACGTTCCAAAACACCACCAAAAAGTTACAGCACAGCCAGACGTTCCAGAAGTGCAAGCAGGTAAGAAGTGGCATTTTGAGTTCTTGGTACCTTTTACAACCCTGTTTGCAAGAATGTCAATAGGCCATGAGCATTAAATGTTTTCCAATACATAGTACATACTTCATTGTTGAAATATTTTAAAAGCAATTTGTGAAGAATAATCGAAAGTTCTTTTTACTTAATATGTTATGGTGTTACAATTGAAATAACATGGAATTCAACAGAGGTCAGGTTTTATGTTTGCCATATACATTTCACATCCTGATTAAGTTTTAATGGTTAATAATATATACTGAATTACTACAGTAAATTCATTTCATTATTCTAAGTCATGTTTAAAATATCCACATATATAGTCATTATTGATAAAAAGAGAGGCCATGTAAGTTCCGATTTGTATCATTCTTAGACTAGTAATTATGTCTTTAATCTGCTAGTGAAAATTCAGTGTTTCAACTTTACTCCACAGAAAATCTATTTTTCATTCTTAATATAGAATTCATTTGCTAGTAGTAAGGCTGGCTACTTCCATTTTCTTCCAGTCTCATTTACACATGACTTGCTGCAGTATTCTTTAATCTTGATGTTCAAATTCACTAGGAGGTTCCCACTTTATATATATAAAGTAATTTAGTTGGGTGCCTGGGTGGCTCAGTGGGTTAAAGTAATTTAGTGGATGAAAGATCTAAATATAAAATCTAAACTAAAACCTGCTAGAAGAAAACATAGAATTAAATCTTTTTATGGCCTTGAATTTGGCAGTGGTTTCCTAAATGACACCAAAAGTATAAGCAGAAAAATAGAAGTAAATTGGGAACCGATACTAAAAGCATGTGTTTCAAAGAACACTATCTAGAGGGTAAAGATAATCCAGAATGCTAGAAAATATTTGCGAATTATATATAAGCTAGTAAGGAACTTGTTTATCTAGAACATTGAAAAATCATAGATAATCAAGTATAAAAATGGGCAAAGATAGCTTCATCAGAGATACACACATGTCCACTAAGCTTTTGAAAAAATGTTTGGCATTAGTCATGAAGGAAATGCTGCAAATCAGAACCACTTCACACCCACTAGGATGGTAATATTTTTTAAAAAATACAGTTAGTGGTTGGTGAAGATGTGGAGAAATTGGAACTCTGTACATTGCTGGTATGAACGAAAAATGGGACAGACACTTTGGAAAACCGTTTGGCAATTTTTTAAAAAGATAGAATTTCTTGGGGCACCTGGGTGGCTCAGTACGTTAAGCCTCTGCCTTCAGCTCAGGTCATGATCCCAGGGTCCTGGGATCAAGCCCCGCATTGGGCTCTCTGCTCAGTGGGGAGCCTGCTTCCTCCTCTCTCTGCCTGCCTCTCTGCCTACTTGTGATCTCTCTCTCTCTCTCTGTCAAATAAATAATTTTTTTTTTTTTTTTAAGATAGAATTTCTTGACACAGCAGTTTTAGTCCCAGGGGTATATCCGGGAGAAGTGAAAACAGTGTCCACACAAAAACTTCTGTCATTGTTCATGTTAATCCAGAAGTCGACCCAAATGTCCATTAACTAACATGGGTAAACAGAATAGTAGGTATTCATACAGTGGAATATTGTTCAGCAGTGAAAACAAAGTGTACTGATAGATGCTTTAATAGGGATGAGCCTTGAAAACGTAGGACAGATGAAAGTCACAAAGGACCACATATTGTATGATTCCATTTATATGAAATGTCCAGAGTAGTTAAATCTATAAGATGAAATAGATCAGTGGTTGGCATGAATACTTAAAGGGTTTCTTACCAGGGTGATTGTTTCTTAAAGGTAAATATGTAAACAAGAAATTAAACTAGGTGTGAGTGCTTAAGGAAATGCTAAACCAGGTCTACAGAATACATAGGTAGGAAAGGGGCATAAAAGGTGGGATGGCAACATACATGTTCTTACCTTGAAAACTAGAGGCTTTTTTTTTTTTTTTTTGCTGTTGCTTTACTTAAGGTACTTTTATAAGCACCTTATCCTACTTTAATAATTGGATTATTCTAAGTTAAGGTGTATTCTATTAAGTTTTAATTATGTACTTGATATGTTTTCAGTTGTGCTACAGTCTATACAGGGACACAGAAAAACAAAACATCTCTTTCATCTAGGGTATTTTGAGTTTTGGTTACACAGAGCAGTGGCAAAAAATAGGAGGTGTACAGACTTGACAGACTTAATATTTGATGAATGCAAGATTGTGTGTAATGTTTCTGCCAAGGAAGGTCACAGAGGGCTGGTAAGAGTTAAAGAAAAAGCTTTAAAAAACCAACCAAAAGTGTGGCGTTTCATTTTTTATTATTTCCTTGTGCCTAAATTGTAATAATGGTCATCTTGCAAGTTTTAAAATTTTTGAGAATAGTGACAGAAGCAGAATATTAAAAAAGAAAAAGCCACAATTTTAAGGAAAGGGGAAATGCTATATGCATTTTAAAACTAATTGCTCAAAGCATGGTTGGGGGGAGCATCATTTTTTTGAAGGGAGTCAGTTTGATCTTTGTTACTACTAACTTCTACCTGAATTTTACCTAATAAAAGTAATTTTTTTGGATTTTATTAGCAATTGACTTTTATATCATGGCATATTATCTTATACCTGTTCTGGCCACTGTTAAAACTGAGATCTGAAATAGTTTGCTTCAGACTGTTTTTCCTTCCTGAATTAGAACTTTGATCCTTTTTTTTTTTTTTTTTTTTTTTAAGATTTTATTTATTCATTTGGGAGAGGGAGTGCAAGAGCACAGGCAGGGGAAGAACTCTCTGGTAAGCAAGCCTCATGCAAGGCTCGATCCCAGGAGCCTAGGATCATGGCCTGAGCTGAAGGCAAACACTTAACTTACTGAGCCACCCAGGGATCCCAGAAGTTCTGTCTTTAAGAATTGCCACAAGTTAGGGGTTTCTTGAAGGCATGAAAGGAAAATCATATAGTTTGTGAAAGAATTACTCATTTGATTCTTTAGCTCAAAACAGTATTTGAAAATGGGTCTTTCAGGTGTGCCAGCTGGCTTAGCCAGAAGAGTCGGCGATTCTTGATCTCGGTGTTTTGTTCAGGCCCCACATCGGGTGGAGGGATTACTTAAAAATGAAGTCTCTAAACAAAATAAAAAAGAAAATGGATTTTTAGTTATCAGATCCTGTTGTTGAAGTTCCTTGTGGGTCTCCTTCAGTAGACACCATCTGCCATGATGTGTCTGCATTTTTTAGATAATACTGTATTTTAAAATCTAGTTTGCACATTTGTGGTTCTAGAGAGAGACGACGACGACGAAGTAGGAGTGGCACAAGATCTCCTAAAAAGCCTAGGTCACCTAAAAGAAAATTGTCTCGCTCACCGTCTCCTAGGAGGTAAGAATGTTGGTGCTATGGATCTGTACTTTCTACATTTCAGAAGCTGTCAGTTTTTATTTGAAAAACTCCCCTTGGCTTTTTCTTCCTTTTCAAAAATTAAAGTGTGTAAGAATATGCTGATAACATTTCCTTTCTGCTTGAGACTGTGTTATTATAAAAAGTGTTTAGGATCAGGCATTTTAGACCTGTAACCAGTTACAGTCATCTTGCCTGTATCACTAGTACACAGCTTGTATCTGGCGTTTTGAAACGGGTCTTTGTTGTTCTTCATGTCATGTGAACTTGGGTCAGAGTCAGCATCTGAACAAGTTTAAACCTACTGCTACACTTAAGGGTGAAACTTCTTGAGTGGTTACTTTAAAGCATCTTTTTGAGAATATTTTACTGTCATTCTAGACATAAAAAGGAGAAGAAAAAAGATAAAGACAAAGAAAGAAGCCGAGATGAAAGAGAACGATCGACAAGCAAGAAGAAAAAAAGTAAAGATAAGGAAAAGGATCGGGAAAGAAAATCAGAGAGTGATAAAGATGTAAAAGTATGTTTACAAACTAATTTATTTTGGTATTTGGGGTAGTGCTGGTAATTTTTAAGAAGCGATTTTTCTGGGAAGACGTTTACTTTTTTTTATTCTCCTTGGCAAAGCAGGTTACACGGGACTACGATGAAGAGGAACAAGGGTATGACAGCGAGAAAGAGAAAAAAGAGGAGAAGAAGCCAACAGAACCAAGTTCCCCTAAAACAAAAGAATGCTCTGTGGAAAAGGGAACTGGTGATTCACTAAGAGAATCCAAAGTGAATGGGGATGATCATCATGAAGAAGACATGGATATGAGTGACTGAATATTGCCTCTGTGGGAATCCAACTGTATACATGCATCAGTGTCATTCCTTTGTGTGATTTCTTAATGCTATATTTGTTCATCTCAAACCTAGATGTATACAGCTCTGAGTTATAAATGGTTATAAAGCTCCTGATAACTGATATTAGTTATTTACATCCAAAAGCTTTTAGAAAATGATACATGAGTAACCAGTTCTTGACATGGTGAAATCTGATTGAGTAACCAAGCAGTTTTACTATTCTGGTGCTGCTTCATAACAAAAATGAAAAGCTGCATGCATCTACAGCAGGCATGGATTGTTTATGTTGTATGATCTCCTTTATTAAGTAAGTTCACTTATAGTATTTCTAGAATTTGATTCATTGCCGTAATAGAGCCATGTAGGGAATGCACTGATTGCATGTTAATTGTGGCAGGAATATCCTAAATGTCATTAAAATCCTCCAACATGATGGATCTACTTATGGTCTTGTTTGTTGACATGACAGATTAACATTCTTATAGTTACATCTGAAGATAATCCTTTAAGCCTTGTGGCTAAATTTTTGTGGCTTTTGTTTAACTTTGAAAGGTTATATATGCACTAACCTTTTTTGATGGCTGATTAGGCTTTAATTACAGAAACAAGATTTCAAATGAAACTGTCTTTGGCAGTGAGTAAATAGCATATTTTGAAGTAGAGTTGTATACTTTCTCATAAGGTGTTTGGGAATTTTTTTTCCTGAAATAATTTATTCCACATCTACATCAGTGAAAGCTGCCTATCCTGAGTCCATCTGTAAAAGAAAGTTTTCTCTTGTCCTGATTTTCAATTTTCCACTCTTTTATTAATTTGTTTTAATTTCAGTGTTGGAAAAAGGGGGTAGTGCATTTTAAATTGACCTTCATATGCTTTTAAAATAAGACAAATCTACTTGATAATGTACTTTTTATTTGATCTCAAGTTGTATAAAACCAATAAATTTGTGTTACTGTTACTGCAGTAGTAATCTTATGCACACAGTGATTCATGTTAAATGCAAAGTAGTTAGGCAACTGTTTTCTTAGTTACAGGAATTTCAAGCTTCACTTTTGTGCAGTATAAACAAAAGTAGGCTACAGTCTGTGCCATGTTGATGTACAGTTTCTGAAATTGTTTTACAAGACTTTGATAATAAAACCCTTAAACTTATGTTCATGTTCCTGTAAAACTGTATTTGTATTTATTTACGCTGTTGAATGTAAGACATTTACCTCATTCATTTTACAAATCAAGATCTTTCCCCTTTCAATCCACATATTTAAATATAGTAAGATGAACTCCATCACTGTAGCAATTAGTTGCCATCAGAATTGTTAAAGTTGGCTTTATTTCTATCGAAAGCAGTCTTAGTGTAATTTTATTTCTCATATTCTGGGTGTAGGAATGGGGTTGCATAAAGTAGTGAACTTTAGGACAAATGATCCCACCTATATCTAGTAAATTTCTATTTTCAGTGAAATAAAAATATTTGCCTTTCTGGAACAGTATAGAAATTGTCAATGGTATGTATCTACTGTACAGTACTAAATAGTATATTTATTCATTTTATGAAATACTCTTGAGTAGTGTTTGAGTGGCTGGCATTATGGGAGGAAATGAGACTTGGAATTGTAGCTTTTATGCAAGTTTGAGTATAATTTTTTTTTAACTTTGAAATGCCATATAGAAAAGCAGCATTGTTTTTACAGTTTGTAGTAAGTAGCTTTTTAAAGATTTTATCAAAAGGAATTTTGTCTATAGTGAGTAAGAAGTTCTAGTAACAGTCCTCTATTAATCATTGCACTTTTTTAAACACAAAATTGAACACAAATGACATTTGTTTAAACTTTCAAAAACTTTTTTAGTAGATAAAGTTTGAACCATATGACCCTGCCATTTTTGTAAGTGAAAAAACAAGTAATATTGGCAGTTTCACATGGTTAAACCTAATATTAAAGCCTATTCCCTCACTTAATCTCTGAATACAAATATATACTAACTTTAAAAAGCAAGAAATTTTTGGCTTTAAAATAATGCCACTGACTTAAGATGCTATCAGTGAAGGAAATCCACACTTAGGTTATTTTTCAGTGAACATTTTATGCACAAAGGTAGGGTTGTACTGGGACATAAGCCTTTAACACATAATCAGTTAAAATCAAGTGAATACTGCCTCCACGCTTGAGTTTTGTTCTGTATTTGGTAGTAAAAATGATAATAAACGTCGTTTTATTAGAAAAATGTTTGTCCTATTTATTTACTTAAATTCTTCAACAATAAATGAGAAGTAGGCTGTATGAGAGTCTGGTCATGAATTTTGGCTTCATTTATAGGTAGGATACCTGTTTCTTCATTTTCCAATCTAAAGTGGGAGTAGCATCTACTTTACCATGTGTTTTGGTCGTTAGAAACTAACAATGTAGCCCTGTGCCTGGGTCAGTACATGCTACTTGGCATTTGATCATGGAGCTTTTCAAAAGTATGCAATAATTTGGGGAAATGTTTTAGCAGAAGCTCTAAGATAAATTGTGTACAGATACAGCTTTGAGAAGGTACGTTTTCCTTTTTGTGAAGGTGGATTTTGGATAAGCCTAGTGATTATATACTGTGTGGAGCATAGGAAAATGTTAGGTGCTTGGGGAAAAGAAAATCAAACTGGACTTCACTAGAACAGTAAGTTTTCTTAATCTTGGTGTCACTTCCTAGAGTTGAATAAGGTTCTGTTGGTATCAGCATAGACACACCAACTTCTCTAGCAAAACTACCAATTTTCTCCAGTTGGGCACTAGGTTGTATATTTAGGGGGCCGTGCTGTTTGAAGATTGGTAGACATCTTTCAAACTGGAATTGAAATTGTAAATTTTGTCTCTAAGCTAATGAATTTCATCCATGTTCTATATAAATTCTCTGTAATCAAGTACATTTGCTTGTATTTATTTTAGCTAAATATGGATGTAGCAGAAATGCTACTGGTATTTTTAAGAGCATCCAGAATATGTCTATTATTAAGGCTTTATTACCAGAAGCACCATTCTAAATGGGACCAATCTGGAGTTGCAGATTGAGTCTGTTTTATTTAGTTTTATTATTTTTGTTGCTCTTTTCATTTTATAATGTCAAAGTCTATATACAATGAATTCAGACATTTTTCAGCAAGATAACTCAGGTGTAAACCATGCTAATTTACCAGTGGGAATTTTGTAAGAATATACAAAGTGTATAGTAGATGTAACTGGTAAAGAATTCACAGAGAAAGGATCTGACAGAACTAACTTGTTTATAATGATGTCCTTAGACAAATCAGGGAAGTGACATGTTCCCATTCTTTTCAAAAGTTATCACCGGGGTGCCTGGGTGGCTCAGTGGTTAAAGCCTCTGCCTTCGGCTCAGGTCATGATCTCAGGGTCCTGGGATCGAGTCCCACATCGGGCTCTCTGCTCAGCGGGGAGCCTGCCTCCTCCTCCTCTCTCTGCCTGCCTCTCTGCCTACTTGTGATCTGTCAAATTAAAAAAAAAAAAATAAAGTTATCACCGTGTAAGTTTTTTTTTTCTCCTCAGTGCACTGTCACTAAAATGTTTCATGTCTTTTTTTTTTTTTTTTTTTTTAAGAAAGCTAGTTAGCTGATGTATGATTTGTGCATAGAAATTAAAAGTCCAGGGTCACGTCTGGAATGTTCCAAATAAGGGTTAATATCACTTTTCCAGTTATCTCAAGATACAATTTTATTGATAAACCAAACGTAAAAACTGCCTTTTTTTAATTACCAAATGTAAAAACTGCCTTTTTTCATTCACTGTGAAAAAGTTAAAATTTGCTTAAATAATAAGTTTTGGAAGACAAGCACCATGTAGGTTAAAAATGTTTTTCTTTTAAGTGTTCAAAGGAGCAGAATCACTAGAAACAACCTTTATTACAGAGGTTTGGCCTTAACTGTGAGGGCTGCTTAATTAGTCTCAAAGGTGTTTGTCATCTTTGTATCTGATGCTGGAGAGTAAAGCCCACAGGCAGTCTACAAGAGAAGATGGATAGTTGGAGGAGTAAGAATAGATTGAACCAAAACAAGAGCCAGAGCCCACAAGGATGGGCTGAAACTTGAGTCAGGTCTTATTTTCTTCTGACCTCGGTGGCAGGGTTGTCCTAAGGAAGCCAGGACCCTTCCTCGTGAAGGTAAACACCCACTGGCACATTAGTCTGAGAAGCGGAGGGAGGATCTAGGGGAAGGTGAGGCCATTGTAGGCCCTGCTACCACTTCATCATCCCACAGGGGTCAGCAGAGAAGCCACAATGTGTATAAACGACAAAATTTCTGCTTCCCTTCTGCCCTACAGAATTCCAGTGCTACCCACACACATTATTTAAAACACCTCAGCCAGTTGTCGTTGGACAACATTACTGACTGAGAACTCTCTGGGATGTACAGATAATATAAGTGGTGGGTTTATTATTTTGTTTTTATATTACACAAAGTTTTAACTCCAGGCTAGTCATTTACACCAGTAAAACACAAATTCAGGAATGATTGTCAAGTGCCTTCCTTTAAAACAGGAGATTTTGCTTCAGTATTTATAGGTCCTATGGCAAATGTGAAATTGTAATTCTGCATACCATAGGTGCTACTGTGGCTTAAAGTACTATTGTAAACTGAGCTATAAAAGTTTCAAAATTTCATCACTGGCTACTATATAAGGATGGTCATATGATCTGAAAAATATATTAATACTTGAGATGGTGGCCTAGGACACCTATTGCCCCAGATTTCTGACAACAAAATGCTTTGCAAGGGTTATTTTTGCTAATTGACAGTATACAAATTATGGGCTTTTAGCAAGTTTAATTTTGCTGTCTTTACAAGTGATTTAACACTCTCTATGCAATTACCTCTGGGGTGAGTTTCGCTGTCATCTTTGAAACTTCCCATAGTTTGAAATATAGCAACTTTGGTAAGGATGCATTTTGTTAATTTTGCAAAACATGGTAAAGGTACTTTTTGCTAGAATTAACAGCAGAGAAATACTATGCTCCATGCTAATCAATAATTCTCACTCAATTTTAAAGACTAGAATACTAGTAGCAGGACTTCAAATTCACCTAGTTTTCTACTAGAAATTTTTCTGAACCATGTTATTTGCCAATTAAAAAGAAAGCAGCAGGAAGCATTCCTTAATTCAGTGTATCCTGAAAATATTTACTTCCCTTTTGTAGACCCGAAACAGGATCTTCACCCTAGAATTACTGAGAACTGGGGAGAAGCTCACTAAACAATCATTTACCATCATCCCCTCAGGTGTGAATAAACAATTTACATGATTATCGCCAGGAAAACCCATTTTTATGTCAGTGGGGCTCAACCCCAGTCCTAAGCAGGAGAAAGAAACAAGAGCTGACACTTGAACAACAAGGGTTTGAACTGTGCAGCTCCGCTGACATGCAGATTTTTCTGATACACTACATACAGTACTGTATATGTATTTTCTTTTATGATTCTCTTAACATTTTTCTCTATTGTAAAAATATATAATACAATGCACAAAATGTGTTGAACAATTTTATCAGTAAGGCTTCCAGTTAACAGTAGGCTATTAGTAGTTAAGTCTGGGGGAAATCAAAAGTTATATGGATTCTTGACTGTGCATCGCACCCCTAGCCCCTATGTTGTTCAAGGGTCAACTATACATAGCTTTTCAGCTTCTGTTGGATGTCAGCTTCTCTGAAATGGGTTAATTTCCAGACCATCATATGTACCTGTACTCAAAGTCATCACAGCATCTGCTTTATGTGCCCCTTTTACGAAATCTGACAATTCACTGTATATGAATACTACAGACAGAGGCAAATTGTCTCTAGGGAAAAATTTTCTCGAAGATAAGTACTAGTGGCAGGAATACTGAGCACTTCTGAAGGACCACTGAAGGTGACCATTTTATAGTCTCCCAAGTTTGAATAGTTTCTTCAATCACAAATGGAAGACATACAGAATTTTATGGACTTCTACAAAATCTAAATTTTCATGTGCAATTATCAAAATATATGCTGTTTTGATCTACTTACGTGAAATATGGCATACGTAGAGCTTTATCAATTGGATTAAAAGGCACATTTTGAAAAGTCTAATACTGTGAAAAGTTTATTTGCATTAATTAACACCTTGTTTTCACCATCGTAAGAGATACATTTGCTTTTCTTTGTGAT